ACGCATGGACTACGGAGCTGCTGCGAGTTATCAAATACTGATATCTGAGCTGAGCAACGGTGACACCGGTTTTTTCATGACTTTTGATGGAGCTGGTTTTCTCAAGGATTACTCGTCAAATCGCCAGGGAACGGAATTTTCGGTCGCTACTAAGGTAAGCTTCTCTTGATTCTCGACTGTCGCATCGGTAACCGATGTTTAGTTACGTGCAAGATACGATCCAGCTACACTGCCCTATCGAACGCCGTTCCCGACAATAGTTGGAGTAACTAAGGGCGGCTGGCTCGACGTTGCCCGGATATATCGTAATTGGGCTGTTCCGGTATTTACTGGTCCTAAGAAGAAGACATGGTTTGATGATGCGCCAGGCGCTCTATGGGTCAACTCCCACTGGGAACCAACAGATGGTTTCGCTAAGCTCGGCGGTCAGCCAGCTCGTGTACTCGATAATATTAGGAGACTTCGTAGATTACTTGGCAATAAGACTGAGATCGCTTTACACTGGTATGAATGGGATAATCTAGGGTATGATGATGGGGATAATTACACTGACTGTCCCGATGCTGCATGCGGGTTCGACACCCACTACCCGCATTACTTACCTGCCCGACCAAACTTCGGCGATGCCGTCGACGAGCTATTGGACATGGGCGTGCGAGTGTTCCCTTATATCAACGGGAGGCTTTTCGATGTCCAACTGCCGGAATGGGAGGACTATGTTGAGTCAAAGCATGCCTGTCGCAATGAGACCGATGATGTGGTTGTGGAGGACTTTGGGTCTGGCACTTCCTTCGGTGTACCTAATCCGGACGGCTTCTACTGGTCGACCATCATAGAAGGAGTATGCAGCGACATGATGTGAGTCATTGAGGAGCCTGTATTCAGTCTCTTGTTGAGTATTGTGGAGTCGACGTCGTTAAGTCGACAGGTGAAGAAATTTAGAGTTGCCTTTTTTATCAGACGTAAATACTCAAGTCTGAGTGGTATCTACATCGACGAGCTTGCTGCCGCTCCAAACCTTCCATGTTATATCAATGGCCAAGGCCACAATTTCGTACACGGAATCAACAAAGTTGTGATAGGGTAAGCCACGGACTCTTTGGTGCTCTCATCCCGGCCTTGGAATGATGAGAGATGATGAATCGAATGTTGTGTCTACAGGTGTGCGAACGGTATGTCTCAGTGGAAGGCTGGGCTACCATCTATTACAGAGTCAAATGCAGAAGCCATGATGCGTACCGTAGATGCATATCTTACTCTCGTTGCGATGGGTGCTGATGACCCGGTGCCAGTATTCGGTGCAGTGTATGGTGGGTTTTATAAGGGTATCGGTTCATACTTCTCTCGAAGAACTGATGGTCATCCGCACAATTTCACTCGTGCTGTTTGTAAGCAGCTCCTCTTCGGTAACCGTATCGGCTGGTTCGCTCTCGATGGTAAGGACGAACTCCTCAGCTTTCTCGAAGATTCGACGGAGTCCGTATCCTTCCTTCAACGGGCTCTATTTCTTCGGTCGAAGTTTTCCTTGTGGTTCGAACATGGCCGTCCTGGCAGACAGTTCGGACACACCAAGCAAGAGTGGATCTACGAGTCTGCTAATCTGAAGAGTTACCTGGTCATCACTTGTAAACCTTTGGAATCTTCTGGCAGTCCAGTTGAAGAGTTGGTGTATGGTGAGGTAGATATGATCGGATTGTATGCTGCTTTTGACGTATCATTGGAGGATACCATCTTAATGTAGCCTGTGTCTCACATTTTGGATTTCAACGACCTCCGCTTTTCTCTGAATCGTCACGTTTTTTATACTCACTCGGTTTCGTCGGGCAGGCGTGGGCGCCCATGGCGTCATTCTTTGCGTCGAAGCAGCCGAGTCGCAGTTGTTATCGCCTAGCCCTCAAACCAAATCGTATTTCTCATGTACACTCTTCGTGTCGTGCTCACTGTAGCATGGGGAACAATAAGTGATGAGGTTTCGGTAATCTGTTGGTGGCTGAACCAAATTTGCTGGAGAGGCGCTTAACTCAACACTTGACGTGCGCAAGCTTGCTGATGAAGGGTTTTAGTACTTCATGTGAACTGGTAGTTTCTTTGTGTGTGGCTTTATGCAGAGAAACTCTTGGCAATTTGTTGATCTTGCGGGAAGAGGTGGTAGAGAGTAATGGAGCCGTGTCTGTGGGGACAGTGCGCTGTTTCTGTATCAACCTCGCAGACGTCTTGGTCTTAGCTCGCCATTTGATGAGCAATAGTAGAACGACACTGCCATTTGCAGTTCTTGAGGTCTGTTCCTGCCGAGATGGAAGACTGTCTCAGAGTAAGTCAGCCTCACTGTTTAAAGCAATGATAATAGTGTTCTCGGTGGGGTCAGTGCTTTCAGTGTCGACGTAGTAGCTTTGTAAGACTTTTTGCTCAGCAAACTTTGCTGTCTTGGGAACCACGATGTGGTTCACTGGTGGGTGTTGTTCGATCATGCGCTCTGATGCCCTCTGGAAAAGGGACGTTTCTCACCTCGATCTATTGCGTTGAATCTCAATGTAAGGCCGGGTAGTGATGTCATCAGTGGGTAGGGTCCCTAGGGTGCAGCGGGTCTGACATATATTTGGTCTGAACATGGAACGCCTGAAGTTGGTCTCACAGCACGTGACTAGCCCAGAGAGTGCCCCAGTGCTTTGGCGGCCAAAAGAGAGCTACGCTCGCACTACAAAAATGTATGCTCCCCTGGAGGTCATATACGCACTGAACTGGGTACTCAGGCGTAAGTTTCGCCAGCTAGTCCAGCAAAAGTTCGACAGTGACGTGGATGGTTACGAAGCATTGCACAAGTGGTCTGTGGAAAACCTAGGTCAAGATTTCCACGACCACCCCAGGCTGGTTATCGTGGTGTTTCAGGTTTATTCTGGTCTGTGTGTTGGGATTTTGTTGGGATGATCGGAGAGAAGAATTCAGCTGCTCTGGAAAATGAGAAGGACATGGTGATCTCTCGTCAGGGTTCCTCCCTGGCATGGATGATGACCCGCTATCGGGATGCGCAGAGCGGTGCTGATTGTTCTCAGGTCGGCTCCTGTTTTTTCCCACGGAGCTACGTGAATCTGGCGGAAAACTGCCTCCGGCCGAGCAAGAACACTGTTGCCTGCATTTTCAATGGCGAAGGGCATGCCTCCAGTGAGCCCTCCTATCCCGCCACGAGCATCAGAGGGTTTTGACCTATGGCTCAGGAACGATCACCCGGCATGAGCTACGAGGGATGGTCTCTATTCTTCAGCAAGCTTTCGTCGCAAAGGGCATCCAGAAAGGCGATAGAGTGATGACTAGGGTAAACTAGGAGTTTTATACATGATGATCGCGCAGGTGTGTGGGGTGACCGCGAATACGCCCGAGACCATTGCAGTCATGCTGGCTCTGGCATCGCTTGGAGCAATATGGAGTAGTAGAGTTGAGTCTTTCAAATCGACGCATGAGCCCTCCCGTTGTAGGCAGCGTGTCACCAGACTTCGGAGCATCGGGCGTGGTCGAACGATTCGAACAGGTGAGCTCTCCGTCCAAAGTTGAGTGTTGATCGCGTACCTTGAGAAGGGGGACGACAATGAGTGGGCTCAGTAGGTATCCCCAAAGATGATATTCTTGGCCGATGGGTACTATGTCAAAGGCAAATGGATGGGAGAAGAAGTGGCTACGACAGCTCGAGAGATCGTTCATCTACTCGGGTTCGATAATGACCTGGATAAGGTTGTGGTGAGAATTTTTCTGTACTACCGTCCTGCTCTAGAGTAACAACAGTTTGCTGGACCAGCATTGCTATGCGCATTTCACTCGGTGCAGTCGTTCATTGGTACGTGCTGGTCAGGTACTTCCATTCAAGCGATCTGGTGCAAAGAGGACTCGATTGCCGTACCAGACTCTGCGAGCCTTTTTGGGAGGGTTCAAGCCGAGGCGAGTCGAGTATGCGAAGACGGCCTTCAATGACCCGGTCTTTATAATGTTCTCCAGTGGAACCACGGGGAAGCCTAAATGTGATTCTTTCTCGCTACTCTCACTGCGTCGTTGGTACCCACTTCAACGTTCGAGCAAGCGATTGGTGCTATATTGACCAGTTTCTTTGCCAGGCATTGTTCACAAGCATGGTTGCCTCCTACAATTGATGAAAGAGCATCAACTGCACTGCGATATCCGTCCTGGAGATAAGGCCTTGTAGGGTCCTCACCAGGTGTTCGACCTGAGCCACCTTTAGTCTCTGTTGGGTAGTTACTATACCACGACAGCATGGATGATGTGGCAGTGGCTTACCACGATGCTGGCTTCTGAGGCGACGATTCTACTGTGAGGCTCACGTCGTTAGCTTGGGAGTCGAGTCAGCTATGCTCAGGTATGATGGTAATCCTTTCTATCCTAACCCAGCTGTTCTGCCAAAACTTTGTAAGACGCATGGCGTCAAGTTCTTCGGAGTTTCGGCTAAGTGAGGGCAACGGGGGGACCTCATTGAGGCTTTCCTTAGATACATCGATGCGTTGCGCAAATCACTGGAGCGAGATCCGAAGCTATTGTCGCAACTGAACATGGATCAAGTTAGGATGATCTCCAGCACGGGTACGGCACTGACGATTCTCTTGGATATTCTCATATCAGTACTGCTTCATAGGTTCCCCGTTGGTACCGGAGAACTACGATTTCTTGTACAGACATTGGCCGCATATATGCGTGTCTTCTATCAGTGGTGGCACTGACATTATCAGTACCTTCATGCTAGGCAATCCGGATGGAGTCGTCAGGTGCGATCCTTCTGACCTCTTTTCTTCTCGTATGATTCAAGCACAGCTTGTTGATTGAATAATTCAGATCGGTCAGTTCTTGGCTGTATTCAGGCGAGGGCAAATCCAATGTCGTGGATTGGGCATGGCCGTGGAGGTGTGGGACGACTCCGGGCGTCCAGCTCGGCCAGGCGCTACAGGCGAGCTCGTGTGTAAGCGGGATTATCACTTATTCTTCAAATTTCTCGATAGCCGGCGTTTTAGTCGGTGAGATACACTGATTCAGGTACCAAGCCTTTCCCATCCCAACCTTGGGGATTCTGGGGGGATGACGCAAACAAGACTAAGTGAGTTGGGCGCGCGATGCAGAGCTGATAGCGTTCCTACGCACGAATGTGAGCACAATTCGAGAGATCCTGCCTTGCAGGTACCGTGGGGCGTACTTCAACAGTGAGTTCGGCCCGAATGTGTGGTACCACGGCGACTTCTGTGCTCTCTATGCTGAGGGTGGGCCTTCGAGATCGAAACGTTCGTAGATGCACCGTAAAATTTCAGGGGGTTTAGCAGTTTTCGGGCGTAGTGATGCAACACTCAACCCGGGAGGGGTCCGCATCGGCACAGCTGATATATACAAGGTCGTAGAGCATATGCCCGAGGTGAGGATAATGTCGATTCTTCGATGATCACTATACGAGCAATCACCTCGAGAAGCTATAATGCCCGACCCCAAGATCGAGCACTCACCATTTTAGATTACGGAAGCGCTTTGCTGCGGTGTGTCTCGTAGTGGAGACGTGATCATTGCTCTCTTCGTGGTACTTCATGCTGGAGTCACTCTCGACAACGACCTGAGGGCGAAAATCAGGCGCGAAATCCAGAACAGCTGTACTCGTCACCATGTAAGTGACAATGACGTTCCCATCGGCAGCGCACTCTCGCATGAAGAGCCAGGTTGTATGCTGGACTCTAGGTACCGGGAATAATAGAACAAGTAACTGACATACCTCGAACCAAGAACGGCAAGATTGTTGAGTTGGCCGTTCGTGAAGTTCTCCATCACCGCAAAGTGAAAAACGTCAGTGCTCTGGCCAACCCTCAAGTTCTGAAGGAGTTCGAGAAGTTCGCGATATGAACCGGACTCCGGTTACCGGAGCACACTTTTTCTCATGGCCTCTCTACGGTCGTACGCTTCGTTTTTGGGGCTTTCTCGACTTTTGTTCTCGTGAGTTTTATGATACGGGTCTCAGTGAGTTGACGCTACTATAAATCGCTAGTTGTCCTAACTCGGGTCGCGCTACGTTCTCACGAATTCGTAATATGGAGCATAGAAGTTTCGGAGAGGCTGTTTCGCTAGGAATGAATCGCTAAGGCGCAGTGCAACCGAAGAGAACTTCTTTGAAGTCCGGAATTCGGACCTCTCCACGACAGATGAAGCCTTCATCATGAAGGAACTTCATGCCTACATTGATAGCAATGCACATTGTCAACTTTGATCGGGGTCGACCGATTAATATTTCTCATTCCGATGCAGGATACCGAATATACTATACCCTTCAGTGACGGGCCTCCACGTCACCAGCAACGTCCCGCCTGAGGATTATTCTCAGGCGGGACGTTGCTGATCGCCAGGGATTATTCACGTCACCCTGGCAAATGAAACAGGCGGCACGCGGGCTTCGTTCGTGAGAGGACTCTAGGCTGAAGTGTTCAGCGGGGTTATAGTCATCTTGCCTTAGTCCATCGTCCTGTCCGCCTTGGTGACACCAAGTTGGTGCGCCACCAATGATGGCAGGGATTCACCGGTAGTTATTTAATAACTGTTATTACCAGATAATATGGCTGGTATTACCCGCCTGGTAAGTTACCGATGGTAACTCGACCATATTAGCGGTACGTGATGCCTTCCAGTCTTCGCGTTCGCTTGTCCGCAGCATCATAGCCGAGTTCAGAAGCATTACCGTTCTCCCTCATGACAAAAGTGAGTTCGAAAGGCCATCCATCGAGTGGAAAAGCTGCTCGCTGCTGCCAGTGGCAACTCGTCGCACCGTCAACCGCCCGAGATTTGGCTGTAGGTAGCATCCAATGTTCGGAATATTGGGAATATTTTATTCCGGTATTAGTCACGTTAAGTCGTTTGTAGATGTTTGTGAGCTCCATAGGAGGCTCTTAGCGCACTAATCACAGTTTTAGTTCCTCCGGGGAAGGCTTATGCAGGAAGCTGTCAACCCGTAT